GAAAAGATCTGCTAAACCAGATAAATCTGATCAGAGGGATGGTTGAAACTGGAAGTTGATCTGTCCAGAATGATTAGGTGACTTTCATGACACATGATGGCCAGAATTTTGCATCTTGTATATCTTGTACATGTGGAAAATATAAGTGTGTTATGCCAGAGGGTGTGGGCATTTAGCCTCTACCAGGTCTTAAAAAATAGATAGCAAAAAAAATATTTGAATGTTAACTTCTGATAAGACCTATTCAGCCTAAGTTACTGAAATAGGATTCAACATAAATTGGCTTCTGAATATTTTTAATGACATAATAAAAGATATTTGGTTATGGAGAAAGAGGAAAGTCCTTTCCTTTAGACTTTGAAGTTAGGAATATAGAGTTGTCATGGTGTGTCCCATAGGTATTTTGAACATGAAAAAGTCCATCTTTAAAAATTTTTTTTATTTGGTACTGGGTCTCACCACACAGCTTGGACTCCTAGTGATCTTCTTGTCTCAGTGTCCTCAGCACTGGGATTATAGGCATGCACCACCATGCCTGGTTTTGGAGTCCAGCTTGGTGCATGCAGTACTGGGATCAAACTCTGGTCCTTGTGCTTGCCAGGCAGGTGCTCAGGCCACCAAGCTATCTCTCCAGCCCAAGAAAGTCCATTTTATGATATGCTAGCAGGAATTATGGGTAAGCATGGTCACTCAATGAATGTGATTTTATTTCCATCAAACACAAAAAGCTGGATGGGCACACAGGAACAGAGGTGCCTATCTGCATTGTGTGAACTGGGACTGTGGTTGCCTTTTTCACAGCTGTATCTTTATACTTACTATAGTGACTTGGCTTTAAAAGGTGATCTTTGTATTTGGTTTTTAACTATTCCTATGTAGTTTAAAACATAACTGAGAAGTGAATGCCTATAACTCCAATGGGCTGACAAGGAAGCACAATGAAAAATCAAAGCATGGTGCAATACTTTTTGTCACACCACTAAAAGTGGTTTATAAACATTGACCCACAGACAGCTGGGGAGAGAGGATCAGGACTGAAATGTGTGTGTGTGTGTGGGGGGGGGTAATAACTATTTACGAAAAGGATGAGATTGCGAAGATGAGGGAGCTCTGTGTGGGTAAAGGAAGTGCATCAGAATTTCAAATGAAGAGACCCACATGAATGGAGCAGCGACAAAGAAGATGGGGACACAGTGCAGAACAGCTTGGTTGGAGGCACCTGTGTTTATGGGAATGTGAGGTGAAGCAGTGTTACTGAGATGATGATGTACATCTGGGCTTTTGGCCTGTGGATTTAAGGCAATAGATATAGGCACCTGGCAGCCTTTGTTCAGGTGCAGGGTGAGGAGATTAAAATAATCTCAGAAGGCCAAGTCTCATGGTGCAGCCCTGTAATCCCAGTACTCTGAGAGGCTGGGGAAGGAGGATTGCAAGTTGGAACCTCTGTTGGGCAACACAGCAACTTGGCAAGATCTTACCTAAAAAATTAAGAGAAGGGGTACAAGGATAGCTCAACATGAAGGTCCTCGGTTATATCCCCAACACACACACACACACACACACACACACACACACACGAAGTCTTAGAGACCTGGGGTTGTAGCTTAGTTGTAAAGCACATACCTAAAATACGCGAGGCCCTGGTTTGATCCCCAGCAAGGACAAAAGGTATCTTAGAAAGACAAATACTTCAGATTAAGTATTTAAGATAAATGATAAATATAGGTGGAGAATTTTAGGAGATAAAAGGAAAATCAGTGGCAGTTTTAGAATGCTGGAGGTGGGACGCACTCTGAAGAGACAACAAAGAAAGGATTGGCAGAATTTGGAGCTGACTATAAGAATATGGTTCACCAGTAATTCTTTCTACCTATGACCTGGGGACTTAGAATTCTGTAACATCGCAATAAATGTCAATTTAATCTACAAAATATTATTAATCTTTTATTTATTATTTGTTTGGTTCAGGGTCTCACTGCACAGCTAGGACTTATAGTGATCCTTCTGTCTCAGCCTCCCCAGTGCTAGGATTACTGGTGTGCACCACCAAGGCCGACAGCGTGGGGCCAGGGATCTAACCCTGGTCCTTGAGCTTGCCAAGTAGGTGCTTAGATCGCCAAGCTATATCCCCAGCCCCTAAAATGTTATTTTTAGTGTAAGAAAGTTAGCTGACTTATTAAATAATGTGGAAAGAATAATACCACAAGCCCTTTTTGTTTTGTTGCTTAGGGGTTGCTTAACTCATTAAAAAGATAAAAAAGGTTCTCCCACGCTATATCTAGGCAGACCTTGAAAAAAGAAAAAGTAATGTAAGATGGTTACCTCTTGTACCTCCAATTGGTCCTTTCAAAAATAGGATAACAATATGTAGCAGCTCATACATATTAAGGCTGCTGTGAGAATTGTGTCAAGTTTAGTGTATGAGTACTAGCTCCTCCACTCCTTGTTATTTTTCCAATGCTGGCCCTTGGAAGGAACAACCTCATTAAATTTTGTATACATACTAAGGAAAATAAGGGAATAAGATTGGACCGCAAGGTGGGAAGAGTCACTAAGGGAAGATAGGGAACACTACACAATGCAGTATGATACTAAATGGGGTAAGTTAGGTGGCCTTTTCATAACTGAACTGTGTCTTTTTGTTTGTTGGCTTATTTATTTCACAAGTATCCCCTGGACTCGGGGGAAGAAAAGAGAGATTGGGATGTTTTGCATTTTGTTTAAATTGTAGGGGAAAGAGAGTGGTAGGTGATCTACCCACAACTCTGGCAACTGCAGGAAAGAGCCCTCGTTTTTGCTTATTCCTTTGGAGAACAAAAGGGTTGGGTGGTTACTTCATAATATTTCAATAAAGTGCTTTAAGTGGAGATTTAAAACTCATCTTACAGAGTGTCCACTATGGTAAGATACACTTGTGGGATTTGAAGGATTTACTTGTCTCTATGGAAAGGGAGTGAGGGAGGGAGGGAGGGGAGGGAGAGAGACAGACAGAGAGACACAGAGAGAGACATAGAGACAGAGACAGAGACAGACAGAGACACAGAGAGAGACACACAAAGAGGGAGACACACACATGGAGGGGGAAGAGAGAGAGAGAGAGAGAGAGAGAGAGAGAGAGAGAGAGAGAGAGAGAGAGACAGAGACAGAGACAGAGAGACAGAGACAGACAGAGAGACAGAGAGACAGAGAGACAAAGAGAGACAGAGGGATGACTTAGTTCTGGGGTGTCTGCCAGTCCAGGGCAGTGGATCATTCTTCCAAGGCAGAATGACAGTACAGTCATTCGGGACCCTAGTTCTTTTTTATTATTAATTTTAATGAGAAAGAAATAGCAATGAGACAGTTTCAAAACAGGTTAGTAGGGCAGTTACAATAATTAATGCATTGCATATTGTTGTCTTCATAGTAATTATTCAGGGTACAAGATGCAGACATGATATCTTGTCTAAACAGTTTTAGTACAAATCTTTCTTCTCAATGAACTAAGAGAAAGTAGTTCTATATCTATCCTAATATATAATTTTTTCACTGCAAGATGGTCCTTTATTTATATCCCCTTTTTGGTTTGTTTTGTCAGAGATGGGTGTTCCACTGCTGTTAGAGAAGCTGTATTTGGAAAAGCCTTTAAAGTACCTTTTCATTCTTAATGCCAGTTCAAATATTGTAGGTACTTGAATTCAGCAAAATAACCCAATGCAGTCCAATCGGGACCCCAGTTCTTGTTTGGTAAATAACTTTGGCCAACTTCTGGAGCTTGGCTTCTCAGTGGAGGAAAGCTGCTCCGAACATCCAGGCCTCGTAGCAGTCGGTGCACACCCTGGTCCAGGACGCCGCAGCCTCATCAGCCAGACAGCCCAGATCCTGGCCTGAGGTTCTGCTTTCCTAAGGACTAAGTTGACTGGGTTGGGAGGCTGCAGGGTGTCTCCTTTGTCCTTGCACACTTCATGCCTGACGAGCGAATAGAATGGGCGACCGCTAGGAGGTACCCGAGCTGTGTGTTTACGACAGGCGAGCAGAAATGGCTAACAGCGGCGTTGTCCTCCGCTAGGCGGGTCCCGGCGGGTGGCTCTTTTCCAAGGTCGGGGCTGCGAACAGTTCGTGGGTGCAGCGGGAAGGACTTGTGAAAAGCGACAGCCGCGTTCGGGTAGAGAGGAGCGCGCTCAGAGGCTTCGTCGCGCGCTGGGTCTGCGCTTTGGGCTTCGCCGCGGCTATCAGGACGCCGCAGCGTCTTTGCAGGCAGGGCGGAGGTTTCCCGGCGGGGCGGAGGCGGGGACCCGGGTGTGCACGCCCCGCCCCGTGCGCGCGCTCGGAGCCCGGTGTGTGTGTGCGTGTGTGTGTGCGTGCGTGTATGTGCGTGTGCGCGCGTGTGTGTGTGTCCGCGCGTGTATACGCGGGCGCACGCGCAAGGACGGGTGTCGCCTATAGCCGCGGTTCCGGGACCGACTAGAGGGCTTAGCGACCCGGGAAGGAATAAATCTCTGCCCACTTCCTCGCGCCCGGCCGCGGGTTGCTGATCACCCAGCAGTTGCCGAGGGACAAGAGTGACAGCCGAGGCGCGCGGGCCGGGGGTCGGAGGGCCGGGGTCTGCACCTCGCTCTCCGCAGCACTCGGGGGGCTGTGGTTGTATTTGTTTGTTGATTTTTATTGTCTGCCTCCGTCCCCAGGGATCAAGGGCAGGACAGGGGCGAGCGCCGCGGATCCGCGCGGGGCGAAGGAGGCAATTTGGCGGTGGGGGAGGGCGGGGGAGACCTTGATTTCCGCCAATCCCGGGGCGCCTGTCTGCGGAGTCCGGGCGCCGCGGAGGGCTGCGGCGCGCCGCGGAATTCACCGATGAGAGCAAGTTCTTTTCTTCTCCCGGAGGGGAGGGGAGCGGGGGTCCCGGCTGGCGAGGCGGGGGAGCCGGGCGCAGGTTAGCGGTCCTAGGCGCCGTGGAAATTTCCGCGGACCTGGCGCGGCGCGGAGAGCGCGTCGGGGCGGGTGGGGGTGTCTGGGGCGCAGCCGCGCAGGAGGCGGGGAGAGGCGGAGAAAGGCGGCCGAGCATCGCTCCGGAGGGGACGCGGCGGGTCAGAAGTCCGGGAGGGAGCCGCGCCAGCCCCGAACTCTCGCCGGGGCGACCGTGATGCTGCAGATCTGGCGGGAGCTCCTGGTCGCGGCCGCTGCCTTCTCTACTCCGGAGACCCCCAGCGCCCGCCTTCTGCAGGGGAAACGACCATGGCTCTAGGTCGTGACTTGCCCGCCGGTCGCTTCCCCTAGAGAGGAATCCTTGAAAAAGTTACCTTTTCCAAAATCCTTGCACTGACCTTTGGGGCCGTGGGGGCCGAAGCAGCAGTGCGTGCGCCCGTGAGCCAGGAAGAGACACAAAGGTGTGCGTGTGCATGGGGGGCCGGCCGCGCGCAGACCCTTGGCTGCCCCTGAGCCCCGCGGCGTCCTGAGGCTCCGGCCCCCGCCCCCGCCCCGGACACTGGGCTGCTATGAGCCCCTGCGGGCGCGCGCGGCGGCAGACGTCCCGCGGGGCCATGGCCGTCCTGGGGTGGAAGTTCCCGCGCACCCGGCTGCCCGTGGGGGCCAGCGCCCTCTGCGTGGTGGTCCTCTGTTGGCTGTACATCTTCCCTGTCTACCGGCTGCCCAATGAGAAGGAGATCGTACAGGGGGTGCTGCAGCAGGGCACGGCGTGGCGGAGGAATCGAACGGCCGCCCGGCTCTTCAGGTACTTGTGCCTCCCTCCACGTCCTTTGCTCTTCACGAGGGGTCAGGGTCGCGGTGAGGGCGGTCTCTTCTATATCGCGCGTGCACCGGCTTTTTTTTGTTTTTTGTCCTGTTACCCATTGTGACGTCCCCCAGCTGGAGACTGTGGTCAGGGTCCCTTCCTCATCCATCCTTTTTTTCCCCAAGAGATGTGCAGACACCTGCTCGGCGCCTGTAGAGACTGAGCTCATCTTTTCTCAAGCCGGAGTTGCAATAAACAATTTGCGGATGATCAAGGGTGGGCGGGAGGACCCAGACTAACTCAGTCCCTCGTACTTAATGAGAATTTATATCGTGGGCTCTGCAGACAGAAGCTGAAGAGAACTAGAGGCAGGCAAGAGGCGTCTTCCTGAGGTGACAGGAGCAGTTGGTAGCATAAATCATCGAAGGTTTGATGGGCAAACCTCGGGCAGTGGAGATATAAATGGACGGTCAGCCAGGTTCCCACTACTTTGTGTATTGTGCCCAACGCAGCTACCAAAAGCCTGAATGCTGCGGTTTTTATGTTGAAATCGCTGCAACTTTCTAATAGCAGGTATTTTTTCCCCTCCTATGGGCCACCAACTCTTTGCAAGGATGAATTACTTGCCCAAGGTCACTTATCTCGGCAGTATGGGTACTGTAATTTTCACCATTTAAAAATTCCTGGCCCTTTTTGTTGGCTTAAACTCGTGGATGCTTCTGGAAGGTGGGTGGTGGACTTTAGGGACTCACTTGAAATCGGAAGAAAACGACAACAAAAACCACGTTGCAGATCAAAGCTCTTGAGGATCACTCAAGGTTATAGTTTCCCTTAGTTTGGGGGAAATTTTAGTTTAAGGTTCTGAAAAGAAGTTCCTGAAGCCCGCGGTTGATAGGTAGGGTGGAGGGAGGTAGAGCTACTTTCCTTTCTTCTCGGGCTTCCTTGTACACTAGGGAAGCATCTGAACTGTCGCGACAGAAGGGTGTTCTTTACACCTTCAGTCCCGCCCGTGGCTGGAGAAGCTGCAACTGGCTTTGCTGTGGTGTGGGGTCTGACTCAGGAGGCTTTTCCTCTGCTATTTAGAAGAGCCAGCGTGTGCAGGTGAAAGCCAACGTGAAGGCTTTCATTGCTTTATTTACAAATGTTCCCCAGCATCTATCCATCTTTAAAAACTTTTGAATATATATATTTTCCCTTCCCTCTCCTCCCCAGGCCTCCAGTTGGAAAAAAGTTCACTGAGATGATATAGCTAGTGTTCCGGAAGGAAGGCAGTAGAATTTTCCTTAAAACTGGGAAAGAAGATTCTCTCTCTCTCTCTCTCTCTCTCTCTCTCTCTCTCTCTCTCTCTCTCTCATCTTTCTCTCGTATTTCTTCTTTCCTTCTTCATTTCTTTCTTTCTCCCCCTCTCTATCTCTCTTTCCTTGTTTCATAATTGTCCTGCCATTAACTTAAAAAATATTTCCAGCCCCCTAACAATCCATTAAGATTAATCATCTCTCTGGTTCACAACATTGAATCCTGGACTCAAAAGAAGGCAAAAGGTGTAGTACCAGTTTTCTGTCCCTAAGGACCGAATGCACTTTTATTTCAAGTAATATATGGAAACCAGTTAAAATCTTTTCATTGGCTTGCAATGAAAGAGTCCTTCTCTTTTTGAATGTGGATATAAACTATGAAGTACTGTTGGAAGATAGATTTGTTTTCAGAGGACGCTGTTGAGTGGAAAATGCTTCCCACTCTCGTCATCACAGACGGGTTGTTGGTGGACGCTCCCTGTGGCTCCACGCCTGCAGCAATCTTCACTGTGTCTAGCTCGGTCTTTGCAGAGCGTCTATGTGTAGAGAATGACTTCCTGAAATCTAGAAAGAGTATCTGAACATACCACTGAAGGGGCACGTCTATAAAACTATGTAAAGGCACCATTGCTTATTGAGTAAAGTATGCGCATCAGATTAGAGGGCTCAATCTGGGCACCGCCTTTGTGCAGGAGCAGGTAGATGGCATGGTATCTTTGGCAACTGACTCTGTCTTTTTGAGTTGTGGCTTCATAACCTTTATAAAAAACAAGGATGATAATATCTCCCTTGTAGGGTTGTTATAAGGTTTCCATAAATAAGAACGATAACCAACTGATATGCGTCTGGTACACTGCACCAAAATAATTGTTTTGCAATTTGTTATAGTTATAATTTTCTGTGTATGCCATAGCTTACATAAGGACATTGGGCCAGCCCAGAAGAATTTGGAGCATTTTACCTGATGGTTTTATAGAAGAAAGATTATGTGTCCATACCTGTCTCTGCATTCCCATTGCTTATGCCAATAATCAGAGACAGGAGTGTTGAAAAAGCTCGTGTTTGCTGAGGTGAAATGTTATTTTTATTACTTTTCACATTTAGTAAAATTTGTTGTTTTTTTAACTTTTTTTTTTTTTTTTTTGTGGTACCAGGGATTGAACCCAAGACACTGCGCTTGCCAGGCCATTGTTTTTTAACACCTGGATTATTAGCATACGAGTACAATTGAATATTTGTTAAGCATTAGTTTAGCCTGAAAAACTTTTATTGTGTTAAGGAGTCTCAGTATAAGCGAGTAAGCATCTGTGTCTCGCCAGTCTGAAACATTTAGTCAAGACCGACATGTATACATGTATGTACAATGTGTATTTCTGTGTAGAGATAGATGCAGCTTTATTTATAAATTATGGAATGTTGTCATCTACATGTGTACAGATATAGGCATACACATGCATACAAATATTTACAGTTAGTCATTGGAGGAGTATTTAGTGAGTGACTGTTATCTACCACATATGTGTTAAGCCCAGGAAGATAAGGGTATGTAACATAGAGACTGGTGTCTTCTGATAAAGCTTACTTCTTGCTAAGGAATGCCAGACAAAAGTCAAAAAGGAGAAAAAAAAATAATGGTGATTTTGCTGTACTTTTCAATGTCATGAAGACAAAAGAGAGTGTTCCGTTATGTTCCGAGTACCGGACTTTATTTTATGCTTTACAGTGCTGAGGATTGGACCCAAGCACTCTGCCACTGAGCTATACTCTCAGACGCTTTTTTATTTTTTTAAGATAATACAAAACAGAAAAAAATGCAAATGATACAGAATTTCACTAAACAGAATAATATGAATTTGACAGTATTTGTTGTCTTGTCTTCAAAGTAGTTGTTCAGATTTCCAGACATATGCGTGCAAAATTGCAAGAAGAAAGAAGAAAAGAGGAAAACAAAGTTGTAAGAAATTAAGAAGACATACTTAGGATGGCAATTTATTTCTAAGATCAACTCTTTCTGTGTGACTTAAAATTGACTGTTACCTTTTATCCTTTTTATAGATCCTAGAGCATGTAATTAGATATTAAACTTAAATATCTGTTGCCATGTTTAAAACAATAAAATGTAGAGAGGAATAAAAAAAAAACAAATTAAGAAGACAAAAGTCTCAAGCTCTTTAGATATTATTTTGCCATGTGTGGCTCTATTTATTTTTTTATTTTCTTCTTCTCTGAGCTCAAAACCAGAGAAGTGAGACTGAGTACTTACTTCGCAAGTAGGGAGCTTGGGCTACAAGAAAGTGACAAAGCTGCAGAGGGTTTGAGCTAACTAGAAAGTTTCTCTGACAGTCACATGTGGAGAAAGGTAGAGGAGTCAGTGGCTCCTAGCCTAGAAGCTTTCTTAACTCTTGTTGCTTTGGATCGAGGAGTCAAGTGGTACGGCAACTACAAACCAGAGCAGTGTTAGTCTTTTCCATCAGATTCTTAGCCATTTCATTTGTCCCTCTGAAATAAACCTTAGCTTTGATTTATGTACAAGGCTCTCTCTCTCTCTCTCTCTCTCTCTCTCTCTCTCTCTATATATATATATATATATATATATATATATATATATATATTATATATATAATATATATATATATATCTTGTGACCCAGAAAGGCAGCATGGCAGAGTGACATGTGTTGAGGGAGCTGTCAGCATGTGTTGGATTTATGGCTACCTGTATTCCTCTCTAGTTGGGCAGTCATTGCGGAGTTCAACTCTTGGAACTTCAATTTTCCTGTTTGTAAAACGGGATTTCTAACAATACTGCATCTCACATGTTTTTAGTGCAGACTACATGAGACATACAGAAAGTCTCTGTAGAATAATGCTGGCCACATCTCTTGTCTAATTCAGGGCCATTAAAATAAAAACACAAGGCCAGAGCTGGGGAAGTTCGCAGAACACAGCACGCAGTTCTACTGGAAGGGAAGAAATAAGATTTTACAACCGAGATGATGCTTGCTGTAAGCCAGGCTGTGGAGGTAAAAAGAATCCTTCTACATTGTTGGTGGAAATTTAAACTAGTACAACCACTGTGGAAATTAGCATGGAGAGTCCTAAAAAGCTAAAAATAGAAATTTCAGGGCCAGCCAGATAGCTCAGTGGACTAAAGCACCTGCTTAGGCAGAGCTCAGTGGCCAGGATTCCATCCCCGGATTGACATGTGGCCCCACCCGCCTGGGCATGCTGAGACAGCGATTGAGACTGGGAGTGGTGGCACACACCTGTGATCCTGGCACTTGGGAGGCTGAAAACAGGAGAATCACTATGAGTCCAGTCTATGTAGTGAGATCCTGTAGACCCTGTAAACCCTCTCCTAAATTCATTTTTTTATTTTTTAAAATTTTACATTTTATTTATTTATTTTTTAATGATTTTTTAAAAATTTATTTATTTATTTATTTATTTATTTAGTGTGTGTGTGTGTGTGTGTGTGTGCGTGTGCGCGTATGTGTGTGTGTGGCCAGCTCAGCCCACCAGGGGGCGGGGCTGGCTGGCATGTGGTCCTGGGGGATTGAACCGGAGTCCCTGCTTTGCTAAGCTTGTTCTAAGTAGGTGCTTTAGACCCCTGAGCCATCTCACCAGCCCAATTCATTTTTTTTAAAAAATAAATTTCATTGAGCACCATTATTCCCTTTTGAGGAATCTTCCTGAAAGAGTTAAG